TGTTGTTTTCTCGTCTATGGTAGGTATCTTCCCTTTGCCCCTAGTTTTATTTCTTTATTTTGCCCCCCTTCCCCGAATTTCCTATCCCCTTCCCCTGTGCCTGTTAACTTAGTGGTCCTGTTTCATACTGTTTTGGTGACACTTTTGTTTGTGTCCCTTGTTGTTTTCTCGTCTTTGGTAAGTATCTTCCCTTTGCCCCTTGTTTTATTTCGCCCCCCTCCCCGAATTTCCTATCCCCTTCCCCTGTGCTCGTTAACTTAGTGGTCCTATTAATCATTCATTTATTTATTTTCTTTGATTTCCTTCTCAGTTACATTTTAGCGATAAGCCTGACCGTGCTCTCCCTTGCGCCCTGTCCCGTTTTAATTTAGAATCATCCTGGGCTCCTTGCCAATGGTTCATGTTCCTGGGTCGTGTGGGAGTTGTGTTCATTGAACGCCGCCTTTCCTTGTTCATCTTGTTTATCATATTGTATACATGTATACCGAACCGTAACAAACAGATAATGATTATCAATACAAGGTTCGGCAAGCAAGCAAAGAAATGTAAAGAAACAGAAAAAACTTATCCACATTCATGTATCCACCCTCGAAAAAAAAAACCCACCAAAAACGCCTGAAACTGCAAAATCGAAACATAAATACACAGGAGTGCCAAAGACGGCTCTGGTAGGTGCAATTGCTCCCTTTCGCCGGTTTAAACAGAATTGACCACTTAAACATAATAATGTTGAAATTTTTAATCAACATCCACAAATGTGTACATAATACGGCGGTAATCATGGAACTTTCAATGTGACACATACGAGGTGCCGTTCAACGGGAACTAGACAACATGGAATTTTTAATGGGTATCAGAGGTTTTGGTGTCCTTTTGCGACAGTCGTTCTAACATTTCTCCCATCTGTCTTACATTGTTATGCTATTCAACGTCTAAATAACGGTCACTAAATTTCCTCTTGCTGCGTTTTTATCATAAACCCCGTCAAATCTGTGCGACAATTGTATTTTACTGAGGACTGTCTGAAATTCAATTTTATAGTTTGAAATTTTAAGATTTTTTTTTTCGGAATTTTAAAGTTATTTTTGGTTGTTTTAAACTTCTTCCCCTTCACAACTGTCCTCAATTTCTTTTAAAGATAATAAACTAGAAATTGCTATGGAGTGTAATATAAATTGAAATTCTTTTTTGCTTCATCATGTATAGTATAATTATAATTCATTAAGATGTACCTACAATTACATTGTATTTTCGTATGTGGGAAATCATGGCAGGGTTATAAAATAAAAAGGTAGTTCAGAAATTTCACCTAATGATCACAGATGTTAAAAAATCCAACTTAATAATATCTAATTTGACAATTTAAACGGACTTAAATGCAGTATGATCTGACATCATAAACTATTTAATTTGTAAGTAAGGTTATCAGAATTTTCTTTTCACATTCTCTTTTTAATGCTGAAATATTTGTGTGTGAATAAAAGAGTTATTCCTGCAATAATTCATATAAATAACATAAATAAATTGTATAATAAAACTTGGCAAATACAATCGATCGCCGCCGATAACTGTGTTACACCATGGATTTTACCATGACACCGCTTTCCAATATGGCCGCTTTCAATAACATTCAACGATTAAAAAATTAAAGTGGAATATTTAGACTTCTGTTCGACTTTGAAGTATGATAATTTGGAACCTTGCATAAAAAACGATTCTCGTTCAGGTAATGTATACCGTTTCTTTGAAACTTTTCTAGTTTTCGCTCCCAACAACTTCTAATTGGGAAGCGTCCGTGCATAAAAATGCAGTTCGTGGTTGGACTTGGAAAAAGACAGCGCCCGTCCAAAATTATCTCGGTGTCTCTTTGACAAGTCTAATTAGTTGGACTAATCTTCCGTGTAAGTTTTACAGGAAGTCAAACCGATCTTAAACAGACTTTGGCCGGAAAGAAAGACAAATGATGCAAGTGCTTGTACTCAATAACAATTGATGGGCTGCGCTTATGTGGCAATGATGTGAATGGGCGTAGGAATATTTTAATTCAAGGTTTCTCTAAACCATCAGGTGATTCCTTGTACATCTTACTAGAACATTGAAATTTTATTTGTATTTACACTAGGTGTATGTTTGTGTGGCAACATGATGACATCTTGCGCATCATTTAAGTTAATAGGATTCAGAGAGAAACGAGTACTATTAAATTTTGCTTTATTGAAAGCTCTTTATCCCCAAAGTAATATTAATCTTCTCCCTTTGATCTTCCGTAAATCCCTCCTTGTATTACTTGTTCAGATAGAACAAGCAAATGTCAGTTGAAAGTAATATTACATAATTAATCTTTTAAAAATAGAGGACTGACTCAAGAGACAGCAAAGATTCAAATACAGTTTATTTTCTAATGTTAAAATCACGTAAAATGTTTATGTATCAAACAAATGATTTATATCCTTTTTCTGAACTCCTTTGTTTTCTGATAAAATAAGTAAACAGGTTTTTATTGTCCCGGTAGCTTTTTTCTAATTAAACTTTAGAAAATATAAAGAATTGGTATTAGTAAAGTGCACCTGAAAACAATACTAATTCACCACTCTTGTCCCAAATAGAATAAATAAATTAAGAAATACAATGGTAAAAATTAAAAGTGATATGAAAAAAGAACAAAAAATACACATATATCTGAGAGGTAATCACATAAAACAAAATTTATGGGAATGTTAACTTATTGTACACACAATAAAATATGATGGAAATAAAGTTGTTTAAAAAATAAGTTTATTCTGCATTTATTTCAAACCAATATTGAATGAATAAAAAAGTCATGATATGACAAACCATTTTAAAAGAGATTCCACTGAGGTTTTATGGCATGACAGGACAGACAATACTTTATCATGAGTTAATACATAATTTGATGTAGGCAAACTGTAAACCTAAGTAAGTGTGTACACAATATCGTCGTAAACGAGACGGCATCCAATGCAGTTGTATAGCTTGGGCACAAGCTGCATGCAAAGAGTGTCTGTCAGTAGTCTATGTGCAAAACTTTTACTGATCCCAAATACATGTATGTATAAAAGGTAACATATATACTTTTGCCCTTCTTGCAACTGGTTTAGTAAGAATGCAATGATTTCGGAATATGAAATGTTTTAAAGAACACCAGTCGACAATTTTCCCTACTTCATGCGAGAAGCGCGAATGTTATCCACTGGAAGTCGAAAAAAGAACAAGTTTATCGAAAAAAATCGTAAAAATTTTAGGTGCGGCTATTGAAATCATTTCGATTTTTTGGAATAGGTACTAAAATAATATTATTTTTAATGATGTATTTTCCAAACATTTGCCGTGTGGTTTAAAATTTCGATAATAACTACGAAAGATTTCTCAAAAATGCGAATAGTGCGTCGTATTTTTCATGATGGGACATTTATGCGAACTTTTGGAACACCCTCGTATTATCCATACATGTACTACAGTTTTACCAAGATTATACAAATATTGCTCAGTCATGCATACTGATGACGTAAACAAAGGTTGATGATGCATATAAAACAGAACGCGTGTGTCTGGGATTCATAGAACGAGAAATTTCCAAGGGATACACACGAAAAAGGTTTGTCTCAAAATAATATTTATTGAAATAATTTTACGTAAGACATTTTCACAAATTTTGTCCATTAAATTTATTATAAAGTACACATTGAATAGGAATTTAGTAAAAATGAACTGTTCTTCTATTCTGTGTTAAAAGCAGTAATTTATTAACTATCAATGTTCTTATTTACACTGAACTGACATATATTTTAGAAATGGCTCGTTACACACAATTTGATCATTTATAGTGTTAAAAATACGATAATTCAGGCTAGATGTTGCTCATTACTTTACCTCACACAAGCAGAAATAATCAAAACAGGGTCGTTGTGTTTGTTTTCATTGCATTCCTATTTTAAAAGTTTTCTATTTCATTTAAAAACTTATTTCCAGTTTAGTTTTTCCTTATTAATGAAAATAATAATAATAATAGTAACACCATTATATACCTATTAAGTGTCACATTTTTGAAAACATGTATCATTGTTGATATATTTTTGAATTATTCCAGACACAAGATAAAAATATGCGACTTGGAACAGTTCTATGTGTTCTTATAGTGATCACTGTGACAACGTTAACTGACGGACATCGTAAAATACCGCTCAGAAAATATGAACGTTTTAAAAGTAAGTTGATTTGAATAACCCTAATTGTCTTGAATAGAGTTGTCCATATTTTTTTAGTCTGGGGAAAATAAAAGTGTTTATTATTTTCAGGGATTTTTTCTGAATATGTCCTGTCTGTATGGCGAACAGTGCATGCAATGATTAGACGGGGCAAATGTGCCAGCTGATCTTGGTCGTGCCGTCAGCAGGCTAAGGGTTAATATTATCTTTGTAGAACAGACGAATTTTAAATTTAACTAGTATCAGCTAATATAAATACCGATAATCTTAAAAAAAATATGCATTGGTATGTTTATTTATCCATATAAAAGAATAAGTATTTCTGACAACTTCAATATCATTGTATCTGAATACCCTAAATGATCAAACCGGATTGTAGTCAAGAACTATTGTGTCTTACTGAGATTAATATTATAAGAAATAAATTAATCTGTATCAATCTCCATATTTAAAACTGGACAAAAAACATTCGCCATTTAAAGAAAATAAATAAGATATGTGTTGACCGGAAAGCAAGCAATACCGTCTTTGACTGACGGCACAGATGTTCCTGCTGATCCTGTTCTGCACAATGTGAAAATTAAAATCAGCTGGCGTCAGAAAACTGAGGTTTCATCTACATCATTTGCTTATCCCATGTTGAAGTCATTTCAAGCCTGTGTGGAGGGAGGGCGCATTACCTGAGGCATGTGGAAACCACTACCATCCTTCGAACCGAGCCTGCATCATTTTCAGACTACTCTTAATATTTGTTTGTGTGTGTTTCAGGAATTCTATGTTCATATTGGAAAGGCTGGCCATGGATATTTGGAAGTATTCATTTTGATTTTACTTATTTTTTTTATTTTTTTTTAAATAGTAAATATATGTACAATTTATATATAATCCATTTAGATATAATCTATATGTTTATTTTACTCATTGTTTCTACACTTTGTGGCAAAGAAAAAAAAAGTTAATCAAAGTATAGAACATCACTAATTTATATTTCAGTGTACCTACTCTATGTGACTAAAAAACTATTTTTCTTACACATTAGGATCAATAAAATCTTCCTATAACATTCCTATTGTAACAAAGTTTTATTAAAAAGGTTTATATATTGTTCTTCCTTGAACCACATTGTTTTCCTCTGTATACTTGTCAATCAAATATGTTTTCTTTCATAAATAAGTTGAACCAATGAAACCAATAGAACGATTACCACAAATTAGAACGCTGGTTGGAAATTGTGAAGCGGATGTTGGTACTTGTCCAGTAGGATCATGTTCCACATTTCTAAAGTTTTCAATATTTTGCCCGGATGACGGATACATATGCCCCGAAACAGAAACCCGAATCAAAGACTGTGGAGAGTTTGGAAGCAGACCTTACGAATACGTCATGCAATGTGGATGCTGTAAGGATACTGGTATCGTTGTCACAGGTGTTGTAAAAGATCAAGTCACTCAACAACCAGTAGATAAAACACTTGTCTTTTTAGACTTCAGCAGAAGACCTATAATCACCGGGGTAAATGGTATGTTTAAAACTGCAATTGCGTCAAGCGTCCGGCGGATCGTTATAAGAACTAAAAACAGAAATTACTTGGAAGCTGTCAAGGTTGTTGACATACCAGAGGGTTTCAGGGGTCCTGTGCAAATTGAAATTTTCGTCATTATGAAGTCCGATCCAGTGAAACTCGATTCAACTGAAAGTACAGTACTTTCTCTTTCATCTAATCCACTAGACCCAGAAGCCGGTAATACACTTGTTGAAATTAAAGCTGATTCATTCATTTATAAAAATGGAAAGCAATATCAAGGCGCGGTGAAAGCAAGCATAACTTTTATTGACACAGAAAATAACCTCGACATTGAAGTTCCCGGAATATTCCAAACCGCCGTTGGAAATTCTGTTGAACCTCTTATCACCGATGGTGTATTTTCTTTCAATTTTGAAAGTGCTGATGGAATAGCACTCGAGCTGTCTGCACCAGTGACAATTAAAGGACGAGATGGTATGAAAGTATGGAAACTTAATTCGTTTACTGGTTTATGGGAATTAGTTAGACCCGTTGAAAAAAGAAGGAAGCGACAAGTTTCCCTTGAAGATATCTTCAGAATTGAAAGCGATCGTTGGTACAATATTGATAAGATTCCTGGCGCCCCAAGATGCTACTTTAAAGGTAGAATCTTCGATGAAATGAGTGGAACGGAGATAACAAGCAGCAGTACTGCATCATTTAGGCCAGAAATAACTGCATACACAACTGTCAAAGAACGTTTGCGTCTGTATTTCAAATACACAACCAAACCAAGTACAACATGTTATGAAGTGAGATGCCCACTAGTCAGCGATCCTGATGATAACCTTGCTGGTTTTATCAACATGTCTTCAACAGAGGTTGTTTCAATTGGGGGTGTAAATGTTCCAATCGTTGCTTATCTTACTCCAAAAGAACTTGTTGACTATGACACTGCAGTTATACAGCCAAAACTTTTCAATGTTCAGTATAAGATTGCACCAAATGATTTGGACATTTTCGTTAATTTTGTTTCCGACATTGATGGGCCTTTCTACAGAAACAAGAATATTTGCGAAAGTTCAAGTATAACACAGCCTGCTCTTCATTTCTTTAAAGCAGAATTGCCTAGCTATTATCCTGTCCCTGATGATGCTAAAATTTGCACAGCCAGGATTGCTTTTAGAGATGGTGATGACTTTTATCGTTATATTTCATCCTTAGATTATTTGCCAAATGTGACGGGAATCAGCGAGTGGGAACAAGGTGGATCCAAACTCTACTATACAGATGTTGCTCAAATGGAGCTATTTAAAGATAGGAATGCTACTGTTGTTTTCATATGTCTTAAATACAGGTGTAGTCAAGAGAATGAACTAACTACCGTATTCATCTCTGAAAAAGAGGTGTTTCTTTTGACTGATGATAATTCATTTCAAGAATATCGCTGTTACGGAAAACGCGCAAATACTACCTCTAAATTGATAAATATTGGAGGTAGATTTTCTACCATCGAAGGTTCATTCAATGCACCTGTCAACGTCGATACAGGTCCAGATTTTTATAATACGGAGGTCAACGATTGCAAAAAGGAGACAGACGCTACATTATTTGCTTATGAATTGTATTGTAGGTTATGGCAAACACTTGCCAAATGAGCATTTCCTTAACATTTTATGCAGCCATTTGAAAACTGTAAACTATTTTGTCTGAAATATATTATTATGTCAATGATTAAAAAACTATGTGGGAAAAGAAATATTTCAGTATATATTTAAGTGTTTTTCTATTCTATATATATATATATATATGTTTCTTTAAAGTTTGTAGACATATGTTAACACTTTGTTATAGATAGAATGGAAATCTGAAAGGTCGCTAAGCACGGCAAAATGTATTGTAAACTTAGTTTGTTTAAGAATGTCCCTAACAAGAAAATGTACATGCACGCGACCGTCAACCACTTCTTGCACCTATTATTATGTAATATAAAAATAAAAGTTAATTTACGACAGTTAAAAACTTGTCATAAATGAGGCGGGAAGTGTCCATATTCAATTATAAATTTGACAAAACAAAGATATTTAAGCTCAAATGCGATAAAAGATGGAACTTCACATTTTATTTGAATCTCCAGAGAGTATTCTTTCTTAAACTAAACGATACTGGTACATGAAGAAACATGCCCATGACTTGTAGCGTTCGAACTCATACTCCATGGATTGAGAGGCAGACACCTATACCACTAGACAACAGCTCACATTTTTGTACGTTCCTGCTTAACAATTGAAAGGTTTCTAACAACGGGTATCAGAAATTGCCGAAAATGTAACACCTATTATAAAAATGAAAACATAGGTTTAAAACTTTTCTACTTAAAACAGTTTTTGTTGACAATTGCGCTTCTTCCCTAGTCTGTCTTGGCCATTTGCAGAAGAACCCCCAGAAGAAGGCATATCACTTACACGTTACTATGAAATTATAAAGACTCTAGAAAATATTTTATTTTAGTTATTGAAATATCCATAGTCAATTTATGAACATGGCTAAAGGTGTTAAGTTGGTTTTGTCACATGGAACTTCGATCAAAAGTGACAACACAAGCCTTTGAAAGAGTTATTTGTTATGAACAAAGAAAGTGAACATCTTGCTACCGATTGCATAATTCTCAAAACTTGAATTTGACCTAGACATTATCAAAATCGGTGTCAAATTTCAAGGATATTTTAGGTGAAAATGTTTCCTCTAACAAGATTTTCATGTTTGGATGGTTGTGTGACCTAGTTTTTACCCATGATTATCCATATTCTAACTTAGAAATCATCATAACAACCTTCAACTAATTTCAGGATATTTCGACAAAAACAACAGCCTCAAAAGTGTACAAGGTTGTTTTTTTAAATTCATGCTGTATTAGTTTGTTTAAGATCCCATTTGACTCAATTGAACTAATTGAACTTAACAATGTTTCTGACCATTTTCAAGGATATTTTGATCAAAACAGTAGCCTCTACATTGTTTACACGGTTCTTCCATATCTGTGCTTTGTAATCTCGTTTTGGAGAGAATGTGACTCTTATTCAAACTTAAACTAGAAATCATTAAACCAACTTTTCTATCAAATACCATGATATTTTGGACGAAACAGCAGCATCTAGAGTGTTTCCATATTTGTGCTATGTGACCTAGTTCATGAACCCAGCTGATCCATATTCGAACTTGACCTAGAAATGACCTTAACGACCTGTTTGATCGATTTCAATGATACTCAGACTAGAAATTATATCCTTGCTAAATTGAAAACAAAATCTCAGAAATTATCAAGTAATAAATTTTAATGTACGGCATTGTGTCAGATGTAATAGATGTTTCGACCGATAACCCATCTTCTTCGGCAAACAATTATCTTTTAATTTTACCCTTGAAAATAAAGGAACGAAATGCACATTCAGCAGTAGCCAAACCATCTTCCCAAATATGATTGAACTCCTTAATTCTTTTTTAATAACATTATGATCCACCGGCCGAGGGAGAATTGAAGTAACTGTGATTTTTATTGAAGGATTCTCGTGTCTGAAAGCCGCAATTAAATTGATGGAATATGAAGACATGCAATTTGTTGAAATGTGCGTTATTAATATAGTTAGTACCACAATGTAGAAAAACAAATGCGTTATTATACACAACAACTTTTGACTAATTAAAATCAAGACCATTTTCCAATGGTGGCTGCAGGAAAGGACTGCAGCTTAACTTAATCGGTAGAATATTCTTAATTATAATGGAATCACCCACTAAAACCATTTGTCTTACGTCTTCAAATATAAACGGAAAGTTAAAATTATACATAGGATTTTAAATATCATACATGTCCCTTATAATTAAATAATCAGAGGGCTTGGTAAAAGTGCCCTTAAATTTTGAAAAAGTAAAATAGCTTAACCAAATCAACTGTGTTTGTGTTTATGTAAACCCAATCATGACCTATGAATGCATGTAGCCAATGATGATTCTTGATGATCATTTCACAACAAACAAATAATTCTTAGACACCCTGGTTTGGGAAAAATGTGAGTTTGGTAATTTTTTTTCGCAAATTTTATCCAAAAGAAAGTATGAACCACTGCATGTACCAATTTATCACATGACATGTTTGTTCAATAAATAAAACAAAACATGAAAATATATATCTGAAATTTCCACGCGGTGGCTCATGTCTAAATTCTAACATAAAACAAATGTGTTATTGGTACGGCCAATCTAACATAACACAATATAGACATTAGTTCTGGTAAATATACTTAAATAGCCAGTTTTAATAACACCAATAACCAATTCTCAACAACACATTTTGTTCAAAAACTAATAACTGCAATGATATTTTTTTTTACTCGGAGGAACCAATATGTTACCAAATTGGTTGAGTACGAGTGCAGCTTAAAAATTATGACCTACCAATTAAAGACATATTAAAATGAATTACAGAATAGGGTGCGCCGAAATCGAACTTTTTTTTCTGTTCGGAAAGTTAATACATCTTACCCACAACAGAAATGTTTCTATGCGAGAACTGAACGCGCAACAACATTTTTATAATAGTGACAATATAATTAAGACAAGCAAAATGCAAGAATATATTATGCCGATGCTTGAATATCCATTTTGTTCGGAAAGTTCAAACAAAAATTGTTTTTTTCCCGTGTGAACGAGACGCATAACAATCATTAATGCAGAATTTGTCAAATAAACACAAATTAAAATAGACTGAAAAATAAATTAGAATTTAAGTAAAACAATTTATGCACTAACTTGCTAAATTACTACAAATAAATAGAGCAACTTTTAATTTATCTATTAAAGAATTTTGAATGTTTTTTTATATGCACTAGAGTGCCGTTTAACCATTGAACGAGATCTGATGGTAGTTCTAATCTAAAGGCCAAAGTCGCCAAACCTTTTCCAAGGAATGTATACATAATAATTATTGTTTTGAATCTGAAATAGAGAAAAAATGAATTCCTAAAGGAAACCCAAAACGGCAAAATTGAAAATGTTGCAGGCTCGGTTTGATTAAGCCTGTTCATGGAAAGTACTGTCAAGTGCAAACTACCATCCACACCAACTGACACCGGCTTAAGCAGAATTCAACATTTAAACATTAAATGATAAACTTTTGAATTTAGAAATATCCGCAGATGTGTTCATACGGCGGTTTTAATGGAACCTTCTAGGTGACAATTCCGTACCATTCCATTAAAAGCGGCATGTGATTCCAAAGTAATAGAAAACGCGTACACTTAACAACAAAAAAGGGGCGGAACTATACAAAATGGAATATTGAAAGGGGGTCAGAGGTTATGAAGCCTGCATATCACAGATTAAACGTCAAAAGACAAGGTTAAAAAGCAGTCAACAAATAGTTAAAACTTTAAATACCACAACAAAAATGTCGTGATGAACCTGCCTTCGAAAGAATCTCTCGAAGCTTCGAAAGATGCATTATATATGTGAACCCCTTTCCAGATTTTAGCACTAATAAATGAAAGTGACCTGAGGTCTGATGTTCTTTACCATTGACTTAAAAGCCTTGATTTGACATAAAACTGAGTGAGAGGAGTACACAAAATTCATTCAACTGCTTGAATTGTTTTAGCCAATTTCATAAAAAAACAACAAATGTTTACCTGAATATGTAACATATTGTCTTGATTTTGGATTAGACATGTCATTGAATGAAGTAGGAACTAAGTTTTCTTTCCGAGCCATCAAAAAAAAAAAGCAAAATGAAACAAGCACCGATATGTTTTGAGATCCATAACAGAAACAAATACTACACACAATTCGTTAAGTTATGGGATCTGCTTGTTTAACAATATACAAACATCTTTTGGCAATAGATAAGTTTAATGCAAAATTATTAATGTGATCTATATTATAACCAAGTAGAGTATGTATAGTCTTGACACCACCATTAATATAATTGTCCCCGCCTTTTCGAAGAAAAAGGGGGATATAGAAATAGGCTCCATCCGTTTGTCCGTCCGCCTGTCCATCCGTCCGTCCGTCACACTTTCGTGTCCGGTCCATAACTTTGTCATTTATCAAAGGAATTAGAAATAACTTGGCACAAATGTTTGTTATAACAAACCGATGTGTGATGTGCAACAACCAGACCCTATCTCCAGGGTCAAGGTCGCACTTGCTCATTAATTGTCAACATTGTCTATTTGAATGTATATGTCGTGTCCAGTCCCTTTGAAAGGATTTTGTAAACACTTGCCACAATTGTTCACAATAATAAGACAATGTGTCATGCGTCGTCTGAAACTGACGGCAACTTCTTTTGATGAGTGATATATCTTACTTTATGACGAAAAGTTTTCTCGACGACATCAAAATATCATAAGAATTTCTTCTTGTCTAAACTATAATGAATTCTACTCAGTACACCATCAATAAAAAACAAGAAATAGCTCAAACACTAAATTGACGCTTCAATGTGACACAGTTGTGCCATTCCATGAAAAGCGGCGTATGGTACCCAAGTAAAAGAATGTGTGTGCCTTAAACGTTAAAACATTGCGTGGAACTAAATAAAATAGAATTTTGAAAGGGGTTCTGAGGTTATGAAGCCTGCATATCACAGACAAGACGTCAAAAGACCAATTTAAAAAGCATGCAACATACCCTAAGGGTGATTGTACAGAATTCAAGTAGGAATAATGGAACCACCCAAGTTGAAAGA